TTTAATGATTAGCAATGATTGGTGAATCTATTGAGAGATTCGAACAATGAAAAAAATGGAGAATGATGGTGGAAACAACATATTGAAAACTTAAGAAGATCAAACGGTAAAAAAATATTAACTGGTGGCAGAGCATGGTAGAGAGCAACGAGCGACAGAAGCGAAGTAAACTAAATTCTATATTTGTTTGAAGTTGGTGGCTGCAGTTTGAAGAAAGAAGTAGAGAATTTAGTTTTTAGAGAGATAATAGGATATGAAAAAGTGAGACAAATGAAAATTGTTGGCTTTTATGCATCATTGAAATAGTGTGTTTCAAGTACCTAGGATCTGCGCATCTAATGACCTAACCCGACCCAAGTTTGTGACCCATATATCAACTAATTTGAAAACAGGGCCCGATTACAACCCATTACCCAATCAATAAAGAAGACCCAATTTACAAGTAGATCCAGACCTGGCTCTACTTGGAGTCAATCTTGGATTGTTGATTTGGGCCAAAAATCAAGCTTACTTGTTTGACCCACAGTTTTGGATTTCTCTTAGTTTGGGTTTTAACCCAAAGTATGGTAATTTCTTTTCTTATTTTTTTTATATATAAATTATTTAGATTGATTATTGATTTAAGATTTAATTTTATGAAAATTACTTTTAAAAATAAAATAAAACTTTACCTACATATTGAAGAGTTTTAAAATTTGAAAAAAAATGATATTACGAAAATAAAATTCAAAGAAAACAAAAAAATAAAGCCTTACCAACATATTATAAGGTTGAAATTTTAAACATGAGTCTTGAGAAATAAACCTTACCAATATATTGGAGGGTTTTGTGATGTCTAAAAATAGGATTTTACCAACATATTGACAAATCTTATTAATTTTAAAAAATATATTTTGAAAAGAAAAATAATTTGCGATCAATATATTAGAGGTTAATTTTGACAGAACGTCTTACCAACATATTGGATGCTGTTTTTGAAAATGAATTTTTTAAAATCAAATTTTAAATCTTCAATAATAGAATTAATAAGAGCATTGCAAATAGTAATTTCAATGTAAATTCTTAAGTGAGAAATCTTTTTTAAAATTTACCAATATATTAGAAAATTTACATAAGAATTTTTTATATTAAGGTTCTAAATCTCATTCGGTGCTAAGTATAAAATTTTTAAAAAATTAAATGAATCCGAAGATGGAACCTCTTCTAAGCATGACAAATAGTTTCTTTAAATACTCTTGAGGTGACAAAATGTCCTTAAGTTGTTACTAACGTATTGGAGTAACTTAAGAGTAATTTCCAATATAAAATTATTTGGGTGGGATTTTTAAAGCTTTTAAATAATACGAAATCAAACTAGTATTATCTTTTGGATAGACATTGTAAGGGTGTTATAACCTTCTTCACACGTATCTGAGCTCCTAGACCTAGATTTGGTTTCGTAAATTAGAATCTACTTTTTAAATATATCTACGTTAAGCTTAAGATCTTTTTAAAATGAGACAGATTCAATTAGGTGATCAATCGCATTTAAACAAAAAAAGATTGATGGGAACTTTTTAAGTAAAATCTAATGATAGGTCCATGAATTTATATATTATAATAATATTTTTAATGAATATAAATATATCTCAATTAAATATTTCATCAAATCTTTTAAGATTTCAATCAATATTCCTAGCACACTTTTTTTTTTCTTTTGAAAATAGGCCATATATAAGATAAAATTTTCAAATGATTGCTTGAAAATCTTCTTAACTAAAGAAAATTCAAGAAAGGTAGATGATCATAGAGTTTCACGTTCACATAATCATTGTATGCCTAAAAGGTTGTAGACATGAAGTTAAATTAATTTGTTGTTTTGATGCTTTATTCATAATTGATGTTTCGTTGTGTTTAAAATCAGACTCATTCGGAGACCTATTAGTAGGTTAGAGTTGGCACCTTAATTTGAGTTTAATTTGCCTGTTTGAATTCACTACACAATAAAATCAATTTAAAACTCTTGCATTTTGATTGATATTGAGTCAAAGCAATTGAAATTCTTTATTTGAATAATTGTTCATATAAATATATATATATATATATTATTCACAGGATCATGATTAATGAAAGCAGCTTGACTTTATGTTCAGTTCATTATGAACAAGACAACGAAAAAGAAGACAGGAGAAAGAAATAATGGAGTTATATAAAACAATAATTCTTATTTAATGTGTTCATTTAGACGTATATACCAAGAAAAGAAACAGTTTTTTTTTTTGTTTTTTTTTTTTGTTTTAAGTGATAGCTCAGTGGGCCCATTATTATACCCTGCAAAAAAATGTTTGAATAAAATCCTTAATTAATTAATCTCTTGCAAATTACTGAAAAATTAAAGAAAAAACCTAAAAACTTTTCATAATTTTCCCATGCATCACTTTCCTCTTTTTTTCTTTATGATCTTTTTACATTGCCCCTTTTTGTTTTCGTAATTGAAAACATTTTTTTAATATATTTCAATTCATTTTTATATTTTAAAAATTTGTTTTTTTAATGTAAAATGGAATTTCATTAATCAAATAGCTGGTTACAATCTGCATGAATAATTGGCATAAGAAAATCAGGACAATCCTCGACCCAATAAAGATTTTCATCTAAAGTTTGACCGTACTTGGCAGTGTATGAGATGCTTGGTTGCCCATCTTTCTAATATGAATAGCCTGACATATCTGGAAAGATTTCATGTGTCCATGAGCCTCCTCTATAACAATGCTGATTAAAGATAAATCTTGATTTCTGCTTCTTAACTTTTGTACTACCTCTGATGCATCTCCGTCCAACATAATTCTTACGAAATCCATTTCCTTTGCAAACCTTAATGCTTTCACCGTTGGCCATCCTTCCACCATCCAAGGGTCTGTTACATCTGTTATTTTATAGCAAAAGCACCAAGAGCCATCCCTTCGGCATCTCTGATAACGACTCCTATCCCCTCTTGTTCTGTGTTTTTTTATTACAAGCTCCATCGAAGTTTACTTTGACCAATATCTTAGGTGGTGGTATCCATCCCTCTGCTTCCTCCTGTATCCCACCCTCCATTTTCGATTGAGCTTGCAAAAACTCCTCTCTGTAGGCTCCTACAATGTTGGCTTTTTGGGTTGCATTTTCTTTCCTTTCGCGATGAATCTCATCATTCCTTCTGGACCATATAGCCCAAGCTGCAATTAGGAAGATCTCAAAATTTGTTTGGTTAAGTTGATCACATATCTTGTCCACCTACTTTGCTGTAGACATGGTTGTATTGAGTGTCACGTCCCAGTTGAAACGTATTTTAATCCACACCTTTTTAGTTTCAGGACAATCTTGTATGGCATGTTGTACCGACTCCTCCTCAATGCATCTTGGACCATCCTCGTTCATTAGGATTTTCCTTCTTACCAGATTATGTTTGGTCTGCAATATGTTGTGTTTCAACTTCCAAGCAAATACCTTGATCTTATCAGGCACCTTGCCAGACCATAATCTCCTTCATGTATTCTGATCTGGGTTCTCACTTGGTTCAACATCTTCCCCATTAGCGCCTTGGTTACACAAGGCACAATATCAACTCATTGACCAAATAGGCCGCCTTATTAGTGTACTTCCATACTATTGTGGCTGGGCATCTAATGCCTACTAATTGGTATTGCACGTATTGCAACAACTTCTCTGGATTAAACAGCCTTTGAAGCAAATCAACTTTCCATTTCTTGGTCTTGTTGTCGATTAAGACACTAACATGAGCATCTTCCTCCAAGTCACCTCTCATCAACAAAGGTTTACGCACCCCATTAATAGGCAGCCATACATTCTTCCAGAGTTGTATTGTTTTGCCATTCCCCACCCTCTACCGAATCCCTTGTCGCAAAAGCTTTAGGGGCACCCCATACGATACGCCCGGTTAAAAATGGATTGTTCCCTAATTTCGACTCTAAAAGATTGCCGTTGGGAAAACATTTTGCCTGTAGCACACTTTGGCTAGAGCTGAGGAACCCTTCAGCATTCTCCACCCCTGTTTACAAAGCAAAGCCTGGTTAAATTTTCCCATATCTCTTAATCCCATTCCGCCATCATCTTTGGAAGTGCACAGCTTGCCCCAGCTTAACCAGTGTAATACCTCATCTATTTTTACTATGACTCCACCAAATAAAAATTTGTCTTCATTTTCAATTACTAAATATATTTTCACTCATGTTTTTCATTTTTCAAGAAAATGAAAACATAAAAAAACCAAACACTACCTTTGATTCTTAATTTTACTTTTACTTGAACATCTTCTATTTACTGCCAATGAGGAGATTCATAAACTCGTAAGGTAGTCCATCTCAACCTAATTTTATATAAATATATAAAAATCAAAATATTTTATTAAAATAGTATAAAAATGTAGATAATCTATTATTTTGACACTATACAATCTTGAATAAATTTCATATCATACATTTAATTATTTTGATCTAATTTGATTTAAAATTTAAAAAATTTCATACAACAAATTATGTTTTTTTTTCTTTTACAATTTTTATTGACTTACCATTTACATATATGTAAACAAATAATAAATTAATTTAATTTTCATATCTCACATAAGACATTAATTTAAATTCTATATTAAACTCAGATTATAACTTTTTTTTTTTAACAAATAAATCATTCATTTCATTTATACTCTCTGCAATTACAATATCTGATATAATGTTTGGACATTCATCAACCCATCTTACACATCCCAGTGGGCGTTGTAGTGCATATCTAGCTAGACTATGCGCAGCCTCATTGGCATTCCTCCTTGTGTAGACTGCAGTAAACCGATTGAATTTCTGTTTCGGCTGTTTTGCATCATGTATCAGTTCTCCTACCATTGACAGACATTCACCATCAGCATTCAAGTGTTCAATTACTTCCATTGTATCTCCCTCCTGAATGACCAATTGGAAGCCCATTTCTTTTATGAATTCAATAGCAGAAGTGGCAGCAATTGTTTAAGCAATGGTAAGATCACCAGCATTTCTCATAATGGTCATGCATGCCCCTCGTACCTTTCCGGTTGCATCCTGTATCACCACCCCAATACCACATATCCCTTCCTCCGTTCTTAAGGTGCCATCAAAGTTTGCATTAACAAAGCCATTTTCTGGTGTCGTCCAGCTATGCTTGACCTGTTTCAAATTTGATGATGGATGTGTCTGGGCATCTTTATATTCTTCCAGATATCTCCTAATGAATGCCACCATGTCCTCAGCTTTCCTGGTTTCCCTGGTCTTAATCTCGATGTTTCTGTTATGCCAGATCATCCAGCTTGTCATAATCCCAAGTTCTAAGCTGTTTTTGTCCACCAGTTCCGCAACCTTGCTTAACCACCCTGTCTCGCTATCAAGTTCATTACAAATCCATTCATCTCCACATTGCACCATTCTCCAAATTTCATCTGCCTCACTACATCTTTTAATAACATGCATGACTGATTGCCCCTCTTGTCTGCTTCTCAGGAAACAATCTTGAATGTCAATCCCCCTCTTTCTTAAGTTGCACAGTACAGGTAGAATCCCATGGTTTAAGCGCCAGCCAAACACCTTGACTTTTGCAGGTATGTCCAACTTCCAAAGCTTTCTCCAGAAAACATTCAAGGCCTTTGCATTTCCTCCGGTCTCGTGTGCTCTGTTCAACATTCGGTATGCGCTTTTCACCGAGTATTCTCCATTCTTTTCTTCTCCCCAAATGAGCTTGTCCTCCCTTTCATGACGTCCAATTTGTATACTGCAAATCTGGTCCGCTTCCTCGATCGAGAATGCTTGCCTAATCTCATTTTCCTTCCATTTGCTACCAGCATGGTCAAGTCAAAGACCCAATAATACCTTGCACCTATATTCCTGTCTCCGCATGGTGTAAGAGTCTGGCGTGTTGTAGCCCACACATCCTCCCATATTCTTATCTGTTTGCGATTCGCTACTCTCCACCTTAGTCCCATTTCAAGCACCCTTTTTGCGGACCGTACACTGCGCCTTGTAAGGGAAGAAGAAGCTCCCAATTTTGCCGGCATAAAGCTAGATTGTGGAAAATATTTTGCTTTAAGCACTTGACGGACCAGAGACCCAGGTCGTCGCAAAATTCTCCACCCTTGTTTGCCTAATAACGCCATATTGAAGCTTGCCATATATCTGAAGCCCATCCAACCGATGCCTTACTTTAGCACATTAATTCCCACTTCAACCAGTGTATACTTATTGTCTCAGTTGTTGAGCCCCACCAAAACCTGCTCGTGATACTATTGATTTCTTCACACAATCCTTTTGGTAAAAGGAAGCACCCCATGGCATACAATGGCATAGCTTGAAGAATAGCTTTCATGAATACTTCCTTCCCTCCCTATGATAATAGTCTCTCACTCCAGTGTTGTATCATCTCAGTTTTTCTTTTGTTTCTCTAAAGGATCTTTTCTTCTCTTTTCCCACCATGGCGGGCATCCCTAAGTACTTCTCTGGGCTTCCAACCACTTGTATCCTAAACACATGTTTTGAATTTCATTCCAATCCTAAATATCCTCCGTTAATGGCCAAGATTAATGCAAAATATATGATAATTTACTTACAAAATTCAAATTTCAAAGAATATAGGAGTAATTACAATCCTGAATATCCTCCATTAATGGCCAACATTAATGCAAAATATATGAATATTTATTTACAAAATTCAAATTTCAAAGAATATAGGAGTCAATGATATCTATTAGCCATTAAGTATCAATGGAAATCGTAGATGACCCTATAAATACCACCATTTAGAATTCTGTTCACTTCACGGATTTAAAAGATGCATAAGGTAAAAAATAAGTTTACATCTTTATTTTGAAAACTTTTAAAGTATTTTCATGTTCTCTCTAAATTTTGTACAATAATTCTTTATATACATTTGTAGATCGAGTTTTAAGTATTTGATTCTCAATAATAGTTAAATACTTGCTCGTTTTTTTTTTTTTTTTTTTGTGCAAAATAGATTAATCATATTACAGCCACTATGTTTTAAGTATTACAACAGGTAAATATGAATTAATAATATTTTCTTTCTATGTTCTATTCTTATTTTCCTAATGAATATTACATGTTTGTTATTAATAATTAAAAAGATAACCTTCACATTCACATTAATCGTTTTAGGTATAATTTTTCAAAATTTTAAACTCTAAATTGGTGCAAAATTGTTAAATTTTATTTTCCTCTTTTCGTTGCAAGGCTAACAAGACTTGACATGTTGATGAAAAGGAAACAAGAATATTGAAATTGTTCAGTCATAATAACCACTTTTCAATACATTCATCCATTTAAAGATAAACGTTTTCATCATTAAACCAATTAAACTTTTTAAGTGGTATTATATATAAAACATAAGCAATTTTGGTGGATATAACTTAAAAATTGTAATGATAAGATATTAATTATTAAATAATTTTTCTAAGATATTGAATAAATATTATTAACAATTATAATAGAAATATATACATATTTATTCTATTTATCATTCAATACGTACAAAGGTATATATTTTTTATTGAGTAGTATACCTTATTCAAAACTCTCACACTTTCCATGTCATTTTTTCGGGCGTAGCTAAGGCCAAAAAATGGGATTAGTTGATCCCACTCAAATTTAAAATTTGTTTATTATATAAAAAATTTGGTATAATATTACAATTGGCTCCACTAAAAATTAGATTTGGGGGTTAATATATAATTTTAAAAAATAAAAGAGTCAGTAAAAATATTTATTTTTTTTTGTCTTTTATTAAAAAGTAATTCATAGCCAACTAAAGAGACACTAGCTGTTGTGAAAAAAATGTTTAATTTTATTTTTTAATAATTTAAAATTAAAAAAAAAGGTAAGAAAGGGCATAAAACTAAAGAAACACTTTGTTGTCTCTTACTGGTATTATCACTTTCAACTTAAAGTAAAAGAAAAGAAAGAAACAAAACGCAGAAAAATTAAAAGAGGGATTTGAGAGAATAATGTTAAAGATTAAATTTTATTTAATGAATTTCCGAACATTATACTTTTGATCTACGTAACTTTTAGTTTGAACCTCACGTACGTTCTCCAAGAAATTTTTTTTTTTTTGGTTTTTTTGGGTTATTTAAATTTTGGACAAGAAATAAAGTAAAATAAGGATATCTAAATTTTATGTTTTAAAATGTATATTTTAATTTGTTGTACTGCCTACTATTATTATGAAGCGATCTTATTATCCGAGAAAAATTACAATAATTTATTTATGACTAAAAATTATTGTTGCACGGTTTTGTTTTGGAATAGGTGAAATTATATATTTGCTACTTATTATTTTCTGAAATGACGTGTGTTATATATCCTGCTCCTTCACCTTTAAATCAAAGATGAATAGTAGCAATTCCCACGAACTTTTTTGTACTGGACAAGTATTGATTTGATAGTTTAATAATTTTGTCGATGAAAAGTTATTTGAAAAATATATAATAAAAATATATATAATCTTATTTTTTTATTTCAATAATTTTAATTATTTAAAATTCATAATTATTTTTATTACAATCGTATTATTTTTAATTTTATTGATGAAAAGTTGTTTGAAAAATAAATAATATATATAATCTTATTTTTTATTTCAATAATTTTAATTATTTAAAGTTCATAATTATTTTTATTACAGTAGTATTATTTTTAATTTTTATAAAAAATTATTTAGTTAATGAAAAAGTTTTTTTAAAAAAATCAACATTAAAACAAATGCATTGTACTCAAGAAATTAACGAGCAAAACTTAAAATAAGTTCGTATTATATCAATTTAGATATATTTCTTGCGAATCTTAAATTTCGTAGTAAAATCTCAAGTTATCTTCATAATTATAGGATAAAGTATGGTAGGCATACTTACAACAAAGGACCTTGTCATCCATGTAACCGTACTTTTCTTCAAAAAAATATAAGAAATATGTTACATTGTTTAATCCCAATTAGTTTAATGAGTTTGGTAACTAGTTAGAGTATAGCATAAAAAAGATGATGCTTTTTGTTTATATTGTTATTTTTTTAGACAAAACATTGAAAAGCAAGGAAGTAGATTTTTTTTTTTATTCTTGAAGGTTTTACCAATTAGAATAAAAAAATATATTTAAAACCTATGTTAACGGTCCTAATAATGTTTACAATCAAGCTTAGAGGAAATGTGAAGACTTGATGAATCAAACCAACACATTTAATCTATTTTCATTAAACAATCAAATCAAGCCCAAATTGAATATTGGTCTAGGTTGACTACTTTAATAGATTGTCTTTGATTTCTCTTATGTCAAGGGCTAGCTTTTCGTGGCTATAATGGATCAAAGGAATAACAAATTAGGAAAATTTTCTTGAACTTTTACATTTTATTACCGATCATAATGAAGCTATTAATAATGTTGTTTTAAAAAATGCTCCCAACAATTTAAATTTGACTACTCATGATATTCAATATGATATTATAAGTTTTGCAACAAATGAGACATTAAAAGCTATCATTGATGATTTAAGAGATGGTTATTTTCTATCTTGGTTGATGAATCTCATAATATATCAAATAAGAAACAAATGGCTCTTGTTTTAGGCTACATGAATAAAGAAGGTTATGTAGTTGAAAGTTTTTAGGATTATGTTGATACTACTGCCTTATCACTCAAAGTATCAATGGAGTCACTATTTTTCAAACATGGATTGAGTTCATTAAGATTACGTGGACAAGATTATGATAATGTTAACAATATGCAAGATAAATTCAATGGTTTGAAAAGTTTAATTTTGAAAGAAAATGAGTTTGCATTTTATGTTTATTGCTTTGCTCATCACCTTTAATTGACTCTTATAGCTATTGCAAGAAATAAAGATTCAGTTGTAGCTCTTTTTTATAATATTCATACTTTACTAAATATTGTTAGAGCTTCATATAAATGTCATGAGTTCATGTTTTCAACCTAAAAGACATTCTTATTTGGTGGAAAAAAACCAATAATTTATAAGCCAAGGACTACGCCTTTCTCTTACTGATGTGGGAAAGCACAAACATTATGATATTATCAAAGAAAGTCAAGCAATTAAAGTTGTTAAGGCAACAAAAAATGATGAACTTGCAAGTGAAAGGGGCTTAAACCAAGAAACTAGTCTCAAACGTGCTAGTAATACTCGATGTTTCTCAATGACTAGTAAGCTTCCATGTAAAGAAGCTCAATTTAGTCAGGATGTGTTTATTCTAAACAAACTTAGTCCAAAATTTCTTTCTTGCCTAGGATCAGATCTTGTTTCAGTTAGGATTCTTATTATGGTACGTGTCTTAACATAATCATCTTGTTTGCATCTATTTTGATGTGATTGAAGATGTGGTTGAAAATTGTTTGAATTTTAAATAAAAAATTGAAACTCAAGTGCTATTGCACTTGATTCAAACTTTTGATTTTGTTTTCGACCTACACTTGATTAGTGGTGTGCTAGGAATTATAATAACTCATCAAAAGCATAGCAAAGAAAATATCAAGATATTGTTAATGCTATGGAATTAATTGAATTATCCAAACAATGACTAAAAAAGAAAAGTGATTATGGATGGCATTCTTTATTAGTTAAAGTTTCTTCATCTAGTGAAAAACTTGATATTGTGGTTCCTACCATAAATGATATCTATATAGCTCTTAAGAGACTAAGACGTAAAGTTACAAAGACATTAAATATGCATTATTATCAAGTTGACTTGTTTTATGTTGTCATAGATAAACAACTTTAAGTGCTCAACAATCATTTCATTGAGATTAACATTAAGTTACTTCTTTGTGTGGTATATCCAAGTTACTTATTTTTAGCTTTTGATAAGAAAAAAAATTAATTCGTCTTACTTAGTTTTATCTTTTAGAGATTTCAACAGTTGATGTTAAGATACTTGATAATGAATTTGAGACTTATATATTTGGCATACGGTCTAATACTGAATTTTTAAATATCAAGACATTGGTTATCTTGTTGAAAAATTAGTAAAGATAAAACAAATATTGTATATCCAATAGATTTTTCCTAATCAAATTAGCTTTGATTTTGTTGATTGCAATTGCAAGTGTTAAAAAAGCTTTTCAATAATGAAAATGGTGAAGA